TGCCCCAACTTCTCCCCTTTTTGCAGTTTTTCGTCATTTTTTGCTATATCTGCCATAATCTTGCATGGGCATCATGCAAAACACACAAATTCGCTACAGTAGAGACACTTTGGTTTCTATTGGTCTACAATACACGAACATTTCACCATGTTTAACTCCGGACCCAACCTGGCCAAAGGAGATCCTGAGAGAGAACAAAGGACGTGACCCTAAGCGACGGCCTCGAGGTAAACGAGCCGGCATCAGAAACAGGCTACAGGCTCGCACACACCGCGCACCCATGCCCAGTATCCTGCTAGCCCAGTGGTTCTTAACCTGGGTTCGATCGAACCCTAGGGGTTCGGTGAGTCGGTCTCAGGGGTTCAGCAGAGCCTCCGCCGTGACATGCACGGCTCATTTTGTGCACCAGTAAAAAACATATCTATGTCTTGAATTTGAAAAAAATCACATTTTATTTTTCAGTAAAGAGGGGTTCAGTGAATGCGCATATGAAACTGGTGGGGTTCGGTACCTCCAACAAGGTTAAGAACCACTGTGCTAGCCAATGTTCAATCCATCGAGAACAAGCTTGATGACCTCAGAGCCAGAATCAAGTTCCAGAGAGACATTCGGGACTGCAACCTCCTCTGCTTCACCGAGACTTGGCTGAACCCAGCGATACCAGACCACGCCATGCAGCCGACGGGGTTCTTTTCGGTTTACCGCATGGACAGGACAATGGAGTCGGGGAAGAAAAGAGGTGGTGGAGTGTGTTTGATGGTGAACAACAGATGGTGCGACAGCACAAACATCACACTCACACGCTCTTGCTCGCCCAATCTGGAACTTTTGATCGTTAAATGTCGCCCTTTCTATCTCCCTCGGGAATTCACTGCGGTCATTGCCTGCACTGTTTACATTCCGCCTCACGCGGACTCGGACACTGCCTTATGTGAGCTACATGAGGCTCTCACACATCAACAAACACTTCACCAAAATGCCGCATTCATTGTTATGGGAGATTTTAACAGAGTGAATCTCAAACGGACATTTCACAACCTTCACCAGCACATCAACTGCCCCACCCGGGGCACTAGGACATTAGACCACTGCTACACCCTGTTCAAGAACTGTTACAAGGCTCAGCACCTGCCAGCATTTGGAAAGTCGGACCATGCCGCCATCTTCCTCACGCCTGCTTACAAACAAAGGCTAAAGCAACAACCACCAATCAGGAGGGAGGTCGCTCGCTGGACGGACTAATCAGTGGCCGCGCTGCAGGACGCACTGGATGATGCAGACTGGGACATGTTTCGGCGCAGCTCTGATGACATCAACATGTTTACGGAAGCGGTTGTGGGATTTATCGGGAAACTAGCGGACGACACAGCAGAAAGAACTATCATCCGAACGTTTCCCAACCAGAAGCCGTGACGCTCTGAGATCACGCACCGCTGCCTACAATGAAGGGCTCGTCTCCGGTAATATGGACCTATACAAGGCTGCGTCCTACAACGTGCGCAGCACGGTCAGAAAGGCAAAGCGGAGCTACGGGGGGAAACTAGAGTCACAGCTACGACAGTGCGACTCTAGGAGTCTGTGGAAAGGACTGCGGACTATAACGGACTATAAACAACCAGCTTCTTCAATGATGAATGCCGATGCTTCACTGGCTGATGAGCTGAACACGTTTTATGCTCGCTTCGACGCCGCAGCAATTAAAACAACAAACGGCTGCGCGCGCTTGGAGTGCACCAGTGAAGAAAATGCATTCATCATCACAGAGCATGCCGTGAGGAACACCTTCAGGAGGGTAAACACCAGGAAGGCAGCAGGACCAGATGCAATCCCTGGCCGGGTCCTGAGAGCCTGCGCTGACCAGCTAGCACCGGTGTTCACGGAGATCTTCAACCTCTCCCTGGCCTAAGCTGTGGTTCCCACGTGCTTCAAACAGTCCATTATTGTTCCTGTTCCAAAGAAACAACAGCCCGCTTGCCACAATGACTACCGTCCAGTAGCACTGACTTCAATTGTGATGAAGTGTTTTGAAAGACTGATGAGAGATCACATCACTTTTTCCACTTCCTGCCACCATCGACTCACTTCAGTTTGCTTACCGGACTAATCGTTCCACAGACGATGCCATATCTCACCTGCTCCACACATCCCTAAGTCACCTGGACACTGGCAGAGGGAATTATGTTAGGATGCTGTTCGTGGACTACAGTTCAGCATTCAACACAATAATTCCCTCTAAGCTTTTCACCAAGTTGACGGATCTAGGACTCAGCTCATCACTGTGTCAGTGGATCCTCAACTTCCTCACAGACAGACCCTAATCAGTGAGGGTGGGAAAACAAGTCTCCCCCTGCATCTCACTCAGCACTGGAGTGCCTCAGGGCTGTGTTTTAAGCCCCCTGCTGTACTCACTGTACACTTATGACTGTGTAGCCACATCAGACACCACCTCCATTGTCAAGTTTGCTGACGACACTGTTGTTGTGGGCCTGATGTCTGACAACATCGAGACAGCCTACCTGGAGGAGATTAGGAACCTGGAGACCTGGTGCCAGGAGAATAACCTCCTCCTAAACATCAACAAGACTAAGGAGCTGATCGTGGACTTCACTACAAAGCAGGCGAGGAATTACAAACCCCTCATCATCATCACCTGATTTGGGAACTGCACCAAGCAGGACAGACGAGATCTGCAAAGAGTGGTGCGCTCAGCCGAATGCATCATTCAATCAGAGCTCCCTGACCTGCTGTCCATCTACACCAAGCGGTGCAAGTCCAAAGCTAGGAAGATTATGATGGACCTCTCCCATCCCAACAATGGACTCTTCTCACTGTTGAGGCCTTAAGGCCAAAACAGAGAGAATAAGGAGGAGCTTCTTCCCCCAGGCTATTCGGGCCCTGAACCAGGTGTAGGACTGGACTCTCCCACACACATCACTATAATGACTGGACTCTCACACACATCACATCACCACACGCACCACCACACATTTCCTATAATCCTATAATTCCTATAATTTATAATCTTTATAATCTTTATAATCTCTTTCTGCTATTTGCACATTTTTTACTGTAAATTTCTAAGTCAATTTGTAAATTTTGTAGTAACCTGTAAATTGTAAATACTGTAAAACTTTTTTTCTGTCATTCAATGGTCGGGCATTGTACAGCTACAAGCATTTCACCCCCATGTCATACTGTGTATGGTTGTGTGTGTGTGACAAATAAAATTTGAATTTGAATTTGAATTTTTGCTACACCCAGTCATAGGATTCCTCCATTGGCCAAATCCTACTTTAACTTCTGAAGATATCTGAATATTTTTGTCACATTGTGAATTCATTTAAAGCCAAGAGAGGGACAGTTGTGTTTACCCAGAATCGGAGAAACCTGAAAACAAAAAGTAACTTCTAAAATCAAAGAGTACAGCATTAAAAGCACAATGTGTGGAGATTTTCTTTAAATTGTTTTTAAATACTTGTTTTCACTTAAGCCCTTCTTATATTTTAACTTTGCAACGCTCCATGGCTGGCTGATGGAAAACAATTGCACAAGACGGAGAGGCACGCGGACTGCTTCTACTGCATACTGTGTACACTGCCTCCCTCTGACAACAGAGCTCTCTACATACAGACATACATGCTAAATCATAAATCCACTTAAGATGCAGAGAGAAGATCAAGGAAATCAGAACAAAACAATCAAAGTATGTGTCAAAAATAATATCCTTTTATAAAATGACAAAAAATTTACTAAACATACCAGTTATTTTTGTGAGCTAGATGAAGGCAAACTTGTAAAGTGAGTGTGCCTCTGTTGAGGAAATGAGAGTAAAGGATCAAGGATGTATAAACTTCCCCTGCCGTACTGTTGGCCTGTAAAAGTTGTGGGTTCCCTCTGATCATAAAGAAAGACCATGAAAGACCAGCATGTTTTATGATAGATTTTAAACTGCTGAGCATCCAAAGAGTAGATGATGCACTCTACTAGTGGAAACATCAGCAGTTTGATACCTGACAAGCAACAAAGCCATCACAGAGAAATAAACTCATTTCTCCCAGAGACCACAACTCAGTACAGAACCTCTTCTCCAGGTTCAGCCTGCTGGGGACTGCTTATTCCAGACTGATGGCCAGGCTATCCTAAGTTGATTTCTCACACCCACATCGAAGGATTTGAAAAAATGTTTGCCCCCTTCCTGATTTCATTGTTTTGCATTTTTCACACTTAAACATTTAAGACCATTAAACAATTTAAATATGTATTTGTCTATTCTGGTGGGAGTCTAAGTTGACTGCTTGTTATTAGCAGATGTAAGTTATGGGTTTTCTCTGATCACTTGACCACATTCACTCATTCACACAGCATTTTATTGTATGCGCTAAATGCTTTCTAATATTCATGCACACACTCTGATGGAAACATCAGGAGCAATCTGAGGTTCAGTGTCTTGCATTCAGAAACTTCAGCATGTGGACTGGTGGAGCCGGGGTGTGAACCATCAAACTTCAGACTAGTAGGCAATCTGCTCTACTGTTTAGAAAGTCGAGAGTCCAATCCCCAAAAATGACAACAAAACTGTCAGGGAGAAATAAATTCACCTGTCTTTCAGAGACTTGAGCTCGGGGCCTACATCTTCCAGGCTGACACCCAGAAAGATGATCAGCAGTATTACCAAGTTTATTTGTCACACACACACGTTATACTTAGCATCTTTGCTGTATTAGAGGAAGATGGTGTCTATCCATCTATTCATTTTCTTAGCCATTTTAGTGTTGGAGGGTTTCTAGAGAATATACTACAGGAGAGAGTAGGGACAAGTCACCAGTCAAACGCAGAGTAAACACAGAGGAAAAGCAATCATTCACACTCACATTCACACCTTACAGCTAAATTAGATTCATGAGTTATTTTTTAATAGGACTGTGGGAGGAAGTATGTGTCAAAAACTATATCCTTTAAAAATTGCTTTTAATAGACAAACCAGTTAGTTTGTGAGCTAGATGAAGACCAACTGGTATAGTGAGTTTGTCTCCTTTGAGGAGATGACAGCAAAGGAATCATGGATGTATAAACTGAAAAATAAAAAGAGGGGAAATTTTTTTCCGTGCTGTCACTTCTTCCTGAATGGCAAAGTTAGTCTGTCTTTGGCCCAAACTCAAAAACATTCATTTATGCTGGGTGGAATATAGAACAACATTTCATTCAGTACACAACCTTTTCGGTTTATGACAAACTCAGTGGTTCAATCCCCAACAATCCTTATACCTGTCAGGGATAAATAAACTAAATAAAAGAAAATGAAAAGTTATTATATTTGAACAATTTTTCCACATGAATTTATTTAAAAATAGGTCTAAAATTGGAAGTTGTCATGAATACTGTTATTCTCCTCTGGCATGTAAGAACATAAAAAGCTTTTTTTTTTTTAAATTAGCCTGTTAAATAACAGTGGACAGGTGATGTAACTGTATCATGTATCATATTTAACTGGCACTGCTTTAAAATGATGGGTCTGCGGTAAGAAGGTCTCATTTTGTTAAAGTTCTGTTATCTTACTTCCTCTCTTTATGTCTTCCACACCTTTACTGGTGGGAGGGTCTAAGACACAATGAGAGGATTGAGGAAATGACAGCAAAGGAATCAAGGATGTACAAACTGAAAAATAAGAAGAGGGAACATAATTTGTTTCTTTGTTTACTTAACGACTTCCTTGTTAGTAGTATTTCCTGGATGCCAAAGTTATTGTATCTTTGGCCCAATGCAAAAGTCACTAGGCTGGAATATATTCTAATAAAACAACTTTTTATAGGTTAAAAACACGTGTGAAGAGCTTGAGTGGTGGGAATGTAAGTTTAACGAAAGTTATTAGCAGATGTAAGTTATGGGTTTTCTCTGATCATTTGATCACTTTCAGTCATTCACACAGCATTTTATTATATGCCTTAAGTGCTTTCTAACATTCATGCACACACTCTGATGGATACATCAGGAGCAATCTAAAGTTCAGTAGCTTGCTTTCAGGAACCCCGGCTCCTCCAGGCGCTGGGGTGTGAATCATCAAACTTCAGACTAGTACGTAATCTGTTCTACTGTTTGGAAAGTCCCCCAAAATAATAAAAAAAATGGTCTGGGAGAAATACATTCATCTGTCTCTCAGAGACCTCAGCTCAGGGCCTACATCTTCCGAGCTGACACCCACACTGATGGTCAACAGTATTACCACGTTTATTTGTCCCACGCAGATATATGTTATACTTGGCATCTTTGCTGTATTAGAGGAAAATGGTGTCTATCCATCAATTCATTTTCTTAGCCATTTTAGTGTTGGAGGGTTTCTAGGGCCTATACCACAGGAGAGAGTAGGGATATACCCAGGACAGGTCACCAGTCAAACACAGAGCAAGCAAAGAGGAAAAGCAATCATTCACCCTCACATTCACACTTAACAGCCAAATTAGATTCATCAGTTAATCAATTCTTTTTAAATTGGACTGTGGGAAGAACTATTTGTTTAAATTTGATAAGCAAGTGTCTGGTGTACTGAGGTCTAGTTTTCATCAGCTGCGCCTTATTTCTAAGCCTAAGCACTATGTTCCGCATAAAGACCTGGAGAAACTTATTCACGCATTTGTGACCTCCAGGTTGGATTACTGCAACTCTCTTTACATTGGCCTTTCCTCCTCCTTTCTCCCTAGGTTGCAGACTGTCCAGAATGCAGTGGCACGCCTTTTGACGGGTAGCAGGAAATTTTCCTCTATTACTCCTGTTCTTGCTGGCTTGCACTGGCTGCCAGTTAAGTAATAATAATAATGGATTGGATTTATATAGCGCTTTTCAAGGCACCCAAAGCGCTTTTACAATACCACTATTCATTCACTCTCACA